ATCGCTGACCTGTGCAACCATCAACCACTTCCTTGCCTAGCTCCAAGCTGCTACCTCAAGGGTTCTATCACCTTGGTGTACCTCTCCTAGGTACCTGCAATTCCAGAGATACCCCCCCACACACACACACATGCCACCTTCCACAACCTCTTGAAGGATTAGAGTTAGTGGGATGCTATAGGAATGCAGGCCAGGCCTGTAGTCAGGCCATCCCATCTCTCAGAATTACTGTACCTAACCTTGATGGATCTGACGACCTGCACCATGCCTTTCATAGGAGATCATAAGGATCAGAGCTCTTGATTGGAAAGGACCTCAGAGGTCCGCCAATCCAAACCCTCATTTTACAGATGAAGAAACTGAGGCATGGGGAAAGTGACTTGCCCAGGGTTAAACAAGTAGTAACAGTGAGAGATAAGATCAGTGTTGGGACATTCTTCCCACATTCCAGGTGTGCTTTCCGTGGCCATTCCATCCTGCTTCCATCCCACTCCCTTCACCCTTAGTCTTCCCAGCTGTAGTCTCCTAGGGTATTTTCCCATGAGGGCCTATTTAGGATACCTATCTCCCCCAACATGGCCAAATCACGGGCCTAAGCGATCTCCCCAAGTCTTCCCTGCCCTCTTCAACTGAATTTACCCCATGTTCGAAAATTCCTAGTTGCTTCTTTGTTGCTGCAAGTCCATTGGGGGTTAAGGGGCCAAGCATTACCCTCTTTAAGAACACAGGGCAGAAACAACCCTGTGCAGGCATAATATTGCCCTGATAGATATTGTTTTACAAAAATATCATTAATGCATTCTAATGGAATCCTGACATTTTGTCGTGAACCCCACTGTGACACTATGTTCATAACATTGTTGTCGTGGAACTCGTTGCCCCTTCTGAGGTTGTTTCATATAATCTTGTGTTTCTGTGGAACCAAGAAAACACATTTGGTGGGGTAATGCCTCAATTACTATGGCACTTAGAAACCCAAATAGAGAGCACAGCATGCCCTTGTAGAAGTGGACAGTCACAGAGGCTGTGGAAAGGACAAAACAAAGAATGTCAGAGGAACTCAGGCCTATGCTAATAGGCATAAATAAGAGAGAAACAGAGACAGAGAGAGGGAGGGACAGAGAAAGAGAGACAGAGAGATTCAGGGAGAGAAAAAGACAGAGACAGAGAGAGGGAGAGGAAGAGACAGAGACAGAGACAAAGAGAAACAGAGACAGGAAGAGAGCGACAGAGAGAGGGAGGGACAGAGACAGAGAAAGAGAAGACAGAGAAAGGGACAGAGACAGAAAGACAGAGAAATAGAGAGAAATGAAGCAATCTTTTTGGTCCAAAGCTGCCATTTCATCAATATAGGGACCTCCTGATGAGGACATCCCTCTCTGGCAATGTATATCTGCAACTATTCTACATCAGAGAATTCTACAGAGTTGAACTGAGCACTGAGAGTTTTGAGAGACTTGTCCAGAGTCACACAACCAGTATGGATCAGCAGCGAGACTTTCACCCAGGCCTTCCTGGGTTCGGGGCTAGCTCTCTCCGTGACATACTTGTAACTAAGCGCAGAATGAAGCAATTTATGCACAGCAAACAGTCCGCTTACAGCCAAATTTTGCCTGAAGCATACAGCTCCTCAGGACAAAATCGAGGCTTGGAGAAAGCCCCACTTTGCTCCTTCTGGCAATAGGGTTTAGGGATTATCTGGAGAGAAGGTGAATCCAAGTGCTGGGGTTTCTGTGGATTAGTTTGGAGTTGGCTACATGTAGAATCTCACGGGACAAAACCACCAGCTGGCTGCTGCTTCTCCTGCCCAGGAAGACCTGGGTTTCAGACTTGCCTCTGACCCGTGTTGTTTATGTGGTCCTGGGGAAATAGTTTAACATCTCATTGGCCCTGGCTGATTCTTTAAAATTATAAATTACAGTTAAGGTGCTGATCTGCATAAATGGAGGGAGTTTCCTCTCTGGAAGATCATTACACTGGTGAAATCACAGGTCCACACAAAAATCATTATTATAATTGCTAACCACCAATTACAAAATATAAAATATATAACATATATTGTATATAACATGTTACATATAATAAATATATACATTATATGATAGATAACATATGTAAAGCACTTTGCAAAACTTAAAGCTTGTTTGGCCTTCCACCCTTGCTAGGAGAGTGAGAGAGATGTTTAAATGATACTATCTGTAACTGAACACACAGACACACACACAGACACCCACCCACACACACACACACACACACTGCCCCCTGTGTATGAAGGACAGAAAGGCTTATGGTCCCCTCCTCCAACAGGGATTTACATCTATAATCCCCACACAAGGGGAAGACAAAATCCTCCAGCAATGACCTTCAGTCTGAACTTCTTTTGTTTCAGGTGTAGTTAGTTAGGCAAGCCCTCTTGGGCTCGCTGATGTTCAGATTTATAGCCTACTAGGAAGGCACTTTGGGAATGATCTAATCCAAACCTCTCATTTTTCAGAAGAGGCTCAGAGAGGGAAAGGGACTTGGAATTCTAACATGTTTAAAACTGGAGTAGCTCATAGAGCTGTCTAAGCCAAACCTTTCATTTCAGGTGGCTGGATTTGGAGACAGGAAGATCGAGGTTCAAATCCTTCCTCAGACACTCACTCATTATGGGATTCTGGAGGATCCAACCTTTTTAAACCTCAGTTTCTTTATGTGTAAAATGAGGATAATAATAGCACCTACCTCACAGGGCTGTAGTGAGGAACAAATGAAATAAAGGATAGAAAGTGCTCTGTGAACCTTAAATCACCATATAAAAGTTAGCTATTATTAGCCAATCTAGTTCATAGATTTGGAGCTGGAGGAGATCATCTAGCTCAGATTCTTAACCTGGGGTATATGGTTAGATTTTAGAGGGTCTGTGATTGTGGACAGGATGGGGGGGATTACATCTTTATTTCAATATAACTGGTTTCCTTTGTAATCCTATTTAAGTTGTTTTATGTACTTAAAACCGTTATTCTGAGAAGATGCATAGGCTTCTACAAGACTGCCAAAGGAGTCCATGACACAAAAAAGGTGAAGAACCTCTGATGTAATCCAAGTCCCTCATTTTAAAGATGAGGAAACTGAGGCCCATGAAGGTTAGCTGACTTGCCCAACTTCACAGTTAGGGGCAGAGCTGGGATCCCAACCCCAATTCTCTGATTCCAAATTCATTGTGATTCTTTTTACACTACTGAGCTAGAAACCGTCTGGGCCCAGGGTCATAAAACACTAATGGGTCTCAGAAATAGTTCTGGGTAACATAAAAATGTGATAGTGGGAAGGAACAAGGCTTGCCAGAGGGACCCAGACATCCTCCACTGTGACAATGCCTTAGTATAGCTCTGCCTACCTCTCTCCAGGGTGTATAGCTCATCAGTTCATCACGTAATGTTGGAATGTCTATACAGTTGCCTCAGATTCATAGAGTAAGCCTTTTGTCATAATTACCTACTGCACCTACTTAGGTGCCCTGAACCTAATCCTCTGGTCACTGTGGGTTCTTAATAAAAGGGGGACCAGAGGGCAGGTAGCTCAGTGTTATCACATGAAGAACAGCTCAGTGTCTGCTCCTCCTATAATGTTAACTTTGTGTATTAAATGAAGACAGGTCTCCAGCTCTCAAGTGCAAGAGAGGCAGGTCTGTCTCTTTTCCTTTCATGTCCATTCCAGCCAGGGTCTTCCCTCTGAATGTCCTCTTTTGAAATGACCTTCAGAGTTAGCTTATGAGCCATACAAGAAGATCAGTGGGGACCTAAACTGCCATTCCCATGGATGCATCATTCATCCTATTCACCAGATTGGCTTTGAATAGCTTTCGTTTGATATGAATTTGAACCTAGCAACCAAAGGTATGGGTGGACAGTGGGCATTTGTTCAGAAAAAGGACAGGAAGACACTTAACACAGAAGGACATTTTGGCTTACTATGATGACTGCATCAGAAAAGTAAAGTAGTGAAATGGACCAGCCATGGAGCCAAAAGACGTAGGTTCAAATCCTGCCTCCAATACATATTGTTTCTGTGATGCTGGGCAAGTTGATGAACCTCTGAGTGCACCAGGCAACTCTCTAAAATCATAAATTACTGCCAAGTTGCTGATCTTCATTAGTAGAAGGAATTTCCACCCTAGGAGTTCCACTGGTAAAATCACAGATCAATCAGTTGATCAGCATTTACTAAGTGCCTACTAGATGCCAGGCACTTCTGCTAAACCAAACAGAAAGTATTATTATTATAATTGTTAACCAGAAGTTAGAAAACAAATTAATAATTCATAATTTCTTATTTATATCAGTCAATAAACATTTATTAAACACCTACTATGTGCCAGTCACTGTGCTAAGCATATACTTATATTTACATATCACTTAAAAATTGGACAAGTACTTCCCTTGTGAGGCGAGGTCCTTTAAATGACCCATATGTAAAGTGAAGGTCAACACTCTTCCTTCCTTAAAGAGGCAATCCTTTTTTTTTTTTTGTCAAGGACAATAGAAACATTTAAAGTCTTATTTTATTACTATGATTTCAGAACAACGGGCTTCCTTGGGATGGGATGTTCTGTGGCAGAATCTTGGAAAATAAGTAGTGATGTGGAAATAGGAAAAAAAAATACTTGAATTTGGGCAGGATTATCATTTCTATATAAAACATCCAGGTCCAAATCAATCTGGTCTAATGGTTATGGATGAATGAGTTGGGAAGGTGAATAATTTCTCAGAAGATCTGATCTGGAAATGAACCTTTCCCTCCTAGTCTGATGAAGTAGACCCAGACACTTAGCAGGTTTTCCTCCCCTAAGAACCTCCAAGCCAGTTATAGGTAGGGGCACCCTTACTGCTTCCCTTCCTCATCCATATGGGTATGCAAATACATACACTCTCTCTCTCTCTCTCACACACACACACACACACACACACACACACACATGCACATACACACAAAACAGGAAACTCCACGCTACTACTCACTCTTTAACTTCTTTGGAGGCAAAGTCCAGGTATCTGTTGCTGATCCACTGGACTTCAAACCAGTCCCGGAAGCCATTGTTTCCACAGCACCTGAACTCAATCTGCAACATGTCAATAGTCTTCTTCATGAAGCACCGACCTGGGGTGTCCGTGTCCCTATAATACTTCATGCCATTCTTGAGCCCATGGGTCAGGGTACTCTCCAGTGAGCCCCTCATCAGGAAGCAAAAAAGAGAAACCAGGAAAAGGAAGATGTTGAACAGAACGCAGATGATCAAGAAGGGCTTCAACCAAGGCTTCCATTTGGAGTACTTTGCAGGGTCTAGAGCATCATAACAGATCTTGCCCCCAAGAGCATTGAAGATGCAAGCTAGCACCCCTACCCCAATCAGAGAGTTGGGCACAAAATGACTCTCTGAGTTGTTCATTACCTCACTTCTCTTCTTGAGCTCAATCTTGAGAAATATTCCCAGGCTGAAGAGTATTATTCCAGTTAGTACTGAGATCCAGTTCATAAGCCAGAGCCCCTGGGCTAATTTGACCCTCTTCTTCTGGTCGAATTTGACTTTCATCAGTGCCATTTTTGCTGGCTGGAGCCCAAGTGGGCTCTGGACTCAACTTGGTGAACTTTAGAGATAAGAATTCAAGGCTTTTGGGGTACGGCGGATGGCCCAGTCTGCAGGGAGCCCTTCTCCGGTCTGGCCATGTCTTCTCCCTTATCCTAGGGCTCCGGTGAGCTCAGGAATAGGGGCATTAAATTCACAGTTCATCAAACGTAAGTAGTTCCCACTGCTGTCTCTGGAACTCCCCGTTTGAGCAAAGGAGAAACATTCTCAATGTTGCAGATTATTAAAGTAGGATCTGCCAGAGAGGTCACCCTAATCCCTTTAATCAAACTGATCCAATTAGAAAAAGCCCTGCCAGCAGCAAATGAGGAGTGGCCATGGGCTCCTTCATTTTCCTCTCTAGAGCTTCATCAGAGTCTCATTTCGGATGCTGTAGAAGCATCAGGGAGAAGGATGGGAAATCAAATCTCATGAAGTAACAAACCAAAAAAGGTCAAATTAGTAGTCACAGGCACAGTCTGGGGGACCTTTTCTGGGGAAAGAGACTGGGGTGAGATGGCACCCTATATACAAGGAAAGAATGGGCAAAGATGACCACTAGTAAGCCTAAGGATACCCTCTAGTGGCAAGAACTGAAGGTTTAAACAGAAGTGTGGCTACCTTCCCAAGTCCAGAGTTTACTTTAGCTTACAAGAAAAAGGGAAGAAGGAAACACACACACATATACACAGTCCACGTGCATATCCCATTTTCCAAAATGTAAAAAATTACTTCTCAAACTCCTTAAGCATGGAAGTATCATCTTGGAGTGATGAACACAGAATGATAGATTTAGAGTTCAAAGTGACCTAAGAGGGCATCCAGCCCCAAATTCTGAATTTTACAGAGGAAGAAGCTGAGGCCCAGAGAGGTTAAGTGATTTTCCCAAGGTCACTTAGGTAATAAGTTACAGAGATAGGATTTGAACCTAAGTACTCCAACTCTAGCACTCTTTCCCTTGTACCACACTATGTCTCTCAAAAGCCATCACTTTCCTGACTTGGTGTCTCACCCACACTGTTTCCTATACCTGGAATGTCCTTCATCTCCCTTTTGCCTATTGAATTCCTACCTATTATTACCCATAGCCCAGGGAGGCTCTGTTCCCAGAAAAAGGGGCTCTGGATCTCGGTTGAAACAGATTAGATTCAGTCTTAGAGGAGTCTAACCCCAAAGAAAGGGGATTAGGTGCATTATTGATGGAGTTGTGAACTGATTTAACCAGAGCAATGTGGAACTAAGCCCAAAGGGCTATAAAACTGTGCATACACTTTGACCCAGCAATACCACTACTAGATTTATATCCCAAAGAGATAAAAAAAAAAGGGAGAAGGATCCACATGTACAAAAATATTTATAGCAGTTCTTTTTGTGGTAGCAAAGAATTGGGAACTGAGGGGATGCCCATCAATGGGGGAATGGCTGAACAAGTTGTGGTATATGAATGCAATGGAATACTATTGTGCTATAAGAGATGATGAGCATGCAGACTTCAGAAAAACCTGGAAAGACTCGTATGGACTGATGCTGAGTGAAGGGAGCAGAACCAGGAGAATATTGTACACAATAACAGCCATGTTGTGTGATGATCAAATTTGATAGACTTAGGTCTTCTCAGTAATACAAAGATCCAAGACAATTCCAAAAGACTCATGATGGAAAACGCTGTCCACATCCAGAGGAAGAACTATGGAGTCTGAATGCAGATCAAAACATACTATTTTCATTTTTTTGGGTTGTTTTTTCTTCCTCATGGTTTTTCCCTTTTGTTCTGATTCTTCTTTCACAACATGACTAATGTGAAAATATGTTTAACATGATTGGACATGTATAACCTATATCAGATTGCTTGCTGCCTTGGGAAGGGGGGAGGGAGAGAAAAAAATTGGAACTCAAAATCTTATAAAAATGAATGTTGAAAACCATCTTTACATGTAATTGGAAAAAATAAAATACTATTAAGTGCAAAAAAAAGAAAAGGGATTAGGCTTTTTTCTCATGCTTTTTGGTTCATTGCCTCCTCACTAGAGCTCTAAGGAAAATATCCAAAATAAAGCTTGTTATCTATGATCTCCCCAAACGGGATTAAAAAAAACTTCTCAGAAGTGTCCATTAGACAATTATACAGTGGATACTGGATAAGACAGCTATTTATTTTCTCTATCAAAAAAGAAATGCTTAAAAAACAAAGACTCATAAACACACATTAATAACATCTTAAAATATTTTTTAAAAATAACCCATCACTTATTATCCCAGTAGGTAAAGACAACTTTGTAGGACTGCTTTATGCCTCAGATGTTGCATTGCCAGAGTAACTCCCAAGGCCACCAGTCAAGGCACTGCTTATCACCTGGGCAAGTTATTTAACCTCTTTGAATACCTCTGTAGTTAGGTTCACTGTCTTCTGATGATGCCATTACACTGCTCTCTCTTGGATTGTTGTACCTCTGCTGTTTCCCACTAGGTGTCATATTTCTAATGCTTCTCATCTCTTTCTCTGGGGCTTCTCTGCTCTCCCTAGGATGTATCATATTCTACTGGTCTCATGGTTGCTGCTGGGCATTACTCCTAGCTCCTAGCTCCTGGGCTTCACCCAGTTAGGGATACCTACCAGCAATCTCAGCTCTGGTCTACAGGAGTATAATGACTAGAAAGCCTATCCCTGTTAGGACTGCTCTTTAGTTATAGTTAAAGGCCATGAGCCACCACTGCCAGCTAATTAAAATTAGAATACCACCACACTAAGATTATCTATTTTATTTTGATACTTTTGTCGGGAGCTAAAAATCATAGTTTTTTTTTTTTCCTGGACAATTATCTGATTTCTGGTTAGAAGGTTCTAAGACTTCCCTCTGGCTTGGCATGCAAATGAATTTGAGCCAGAGCAAAAGGTAAGGAAAGGAGAAAGGATCAGTATCCCCATTCATCTGGTCTATATTTCTGCCTTTATTATGTCTATCATTATATTATTTATTATGTCTTTTTTTTACTATGTCTAATCAACAAGCACTAACTACAGGACAGGTAGGTGGCACAGTAGATGGAACACCGGCCCTGGAGTAAGGAGGACCTGAGGTCAAATCTGGTCTCAGACCGGACACTTAACAACTTACTAGCTGTGTGACATTGGGCAAGTCACTTAACCCCAACTGCCTTGCAAAAAAACCAAAATGAAACAAAACCAAAAACAAACAAAACAAAACAAAATAAAAAACAAGCACTTATTATGTACCAGGCACTATGCTAAGCTCTGGGATACAAATAAAACCAAAAACACAATCCTTGACCTTAAGACTCTCACATTCTAATGGCAAAGACAATATGTAAATAACAAAGATATGTACAGACAACACATAAATAAATAATATATATAGAAATTAAATGAAAGATAATCTCAGAGGGGTAAATCAGTGGCAGCTGGGAAAAAAGGGAAAGATCCTTTGTAGAAGGTGGTCTTGACGGAGCTTTAGAGTCAAAGGAGAGGGGACAGAGAATCTCAGGCTTAGGCGACAGCTAGTGCAAAGGAAGAGAGATGGGAGATGAGTATGCTATATGCCCGAAACAGCAAATAGACCAGTAAGGATCGTAAAATATAAGAAGACTACAAAGGTAGGAAGGGTCTAGTTTATTAAGAGATTTAATACAAAACAGAACACCTTATATTTGATCCTAGAGCTAATAGCTAGAAAACAATAACAAGATTGATCTGAAGGAACAAAAAAAGTCAATATTCTTAAGAGAAATCAAGAAAAAAGTGGGAAGGAAGGGGGTCTTGCTGTACCAGATCACCAAAGCAGTAATCACCACAACTATTTGGCACTGGCTAAAAAATAGAAAGCTGATTAGGTGCGCAACATATAGAAGTAAATGAACATAGTGTTTGATAAACCCAAAGACCTCAGCTCCTGGGATAAAGGACTCACTATTTGACAGAAATTGCCAAGAAAACTAGAAAACAGTCTCTCAGAAATTAGGTTTAGACTAAGATCTCATACCATATACCACAATAAGATCCAAATGGATACATGACCTAGATATAAAAGGTCATTTTATAAAGAAATTAGAAGAGCAAAGAAGAAACGTCTTTTGAAACTATGGATAAAGGAAGAATTTATGACCAGACAAGGGTGAGAGCAGGGGTGGGGAACCTGCAGCCTTAAGGCCTCATGTGGCCTTCTAGGTCCTTAAGTGAGGCCTTTTGACTGAATCCAAATTTTATAGAACAAATCCTTTTATTTTTGTTAATATATTTTTGTTCGTCTTTTGTATTTTTATTTATTTCTAACTTTGCCACCTGACTGGCACCACCACCGCGTGAGACTGGTTTGCTAAAGGTTATGGGGGTTGAGTATACCAATCTGTTATCAACTTTTGACAAGGGTGCACTGTGTTTTTATTTGAAGTGGAATTTGTAAGTAGTTGCACAATTCAACAGTATTTTTTAAATTCTGTCTGCTTAACAACTCATTATGTCAAAGAAAACCAAGAAAACGCTGAAGGAAGAAAACAGATTTTCTAATGAGGATTAGGCATTGCAATAATATCTTGTTTCTGTTAAAGATAAGATGATTTGCTTGTGATATTGCAACATCAACATTAAAGAAATTCAATGCTCATCAGCATTATAACACTCATAAGAGCCACAAATATTTTAAATTAGAGGGAGAGGTGTGAAACACTGTATTGCAGAAATTAAAAGATGAAAAGCAAAAGCAAAGACAATTCTTTCAAGCAGCAATAAGACCTGGAAATAATGCCACTGGAGTAACTAATAAAGTAGCTTATATACTCAGGAAAAAAGGGAAGCCATTCAGTGATTTAGAAATTGTGAAAGAATGCATTGTTGAAGTGGTAGGATGTTTAGATCCCAATAACATTTCAAAGTACAAACAACTGCCTCTTCAAGGAAAACCATAACTGATTGGCAGCATGAATGAGCCTTCAACTTAACAGAACAATGTCATTCAATACTTCAAAAAGAAAATATGTATTATTCAATTGCTTTGGATAAATCAACTGATACTACTGATTTGGCACAGGTTTTATACTTCATTCGGGTCACAACAGATGATTTTCTTTGCTACAAAGAGTTATCTGCTTTGGGCACTCTTGAGAACAGAACGTAGGGAATAGATAGCTTCAACAACTTTCAAGATAAATGTTGTGAAATTGGACTGAATTTGGTAAATTTAGTG